CAAAAGGGTCTCAAGACAGCTATGGTATCTCTCTTATAATGTCTGTATTTGAATAACTTGTATGTGTAATAAATAAATAAATATTTCATAAATAACTCTTTATTTTTATTTATAAATAGGTAAAAATTGAATTAACAAAGTCAAATAACTTGACAACAAATCTGAATCGAACTACCTATAATACTGGTGATTAGAATTTAATAAAAACTTTACACGTTCTCTTTTTTGGCTGGGTTTATAGATCACTATAGAAGAGGGCAAATTCTGGGATGGTACAACTTTTTTTTTCAATATCCGACCTCTACCTGTACTCTCACCTGTAAATAATAAAAACAGTCAATATTTTCAAACAAAACATTTTAAAAATAGATTGGTACTTGATCAATGCCTGGAAGCAGGCCTAAAAGGAAGCTAGGGCAGAAAACTATCCATTATGGCTTGTTTACCTTAACACAAAATTCTTGCTTGAAATGCAGAGAATACACTTTCATGAATTTGGTGACTGGTTTGCCAATACGAAGTCTTGAAATCCAGGCTTTTCTTCTCGACACTCTTTTTCCATTTTCGTTTCCAAATAAACCCGTGGGCCTGTTTCAAGGGGAAATATGTAGAAACTCAATCCTTTGTCAGCTTTTTTTTTAGCCCAAGACTTGCACTGAGGAACACAACATTAATGATTAAAGGTCATGATTATATGTATCTGATATAATTTTATAATTTTAGACTTTAATATACTAGAAACTAGTTCCATAATTTCCAGCCAGATCATAATATAACCTGTGGTGCAAACAGCCTACGTCAAGGCGAAAAACGCCATGATGCTTACGTCACAACTGGTTTTTTGACTAGGGGAGGTAGGGGGGGATTTGTTACACATAGGCCTTATGAGGATAAGCCATCCTTTAGTAGTAGTGTGTATCATCCTTTGAATATAAAACTACAGGAAGGAGCATAACTTCGAATCTGCGCGACCAAAATATGTGGAGGTTGCATATGGCCGGCTAGTATTTCCGGTTTGGCAGTGGCGTATATTTATTTATATATGATTGTCAATATTATGACTCACTCTTTTCGCACTAATCCCAGTGCTTATTATCACTTAAAATCGCTAAAATCCATTAAGCATCCACTTGAATGACGACACAGCTAGGGTTACACGAGATTCTCGAAATTCGAGATTTCTCGTCTCGTCTCGTCTCGATTTCGAGACGAGATCGAGACGAGACTGAACCTTTTTTTTCGAGACGAGATCGAGAAAAACAGTTCGAGATTTTTCGAGATCGAGAAATGTAGGTGCTGCAATACCTAAAGCCCAGACAACTCTTATTAGGTCAGAAAAGCGAAAATAAAAGACTATGTTAGGGAATGGGAGTACGAAATAATTTTAATTTATTTTAAACATAAGAAAATTAACATAAAATAAAAAAAAAACAAAGATAACAAAGCAAATAACAAAAGCAAAAAATTGATATTTCCATTTTCTTGAAGAAAAAAAAGACCCTTGAACTAAATTTTGAATTTTTTCTGCACTCCCTATATCACCCTGTATAAAAAATAAAACACACATATTCTATTTTTTTTTTTGTGTAAGGCAGATGATTAACAAGGAATCGCTTTCAAAAATGGTGATAACCAGTGGCGTGCCTGACGCGGTGCGGGAGGGCCTCGGGATATTTGGGGCCCCCAAATTAAACAAGGTATTCTTCTCACACAAAATATTTTTCCACTTATGTCAGTTCGAGTGTCAGTTAGAGAAAATCTTCAAAAAAATCGAATATTTCCCAATTTTTGCTTTTGAAAGAGCTAAAGATGTAAATATTAATGAATTAGTTGATCATTATTTATACAGTCGTTCTACTAGTCGACACAAAAAATGCTAGTCGCTACCACCAAAGTAATTAGAGAAAATGGTTTTATTACACTTTTTTCTTTATTATTTCTTAGTTTTAGTTTTGCTTATGATATTTTTTGTTTACTTTTATTTTCACCGAAACTGTTTGGGGCCCCCAAAGAAAAATTCGCGGGAGGGCCCCCAAGAAACTTGGCACGCCCCTGGTGATAACCGCATATTTTTCGGTTAATTTATTAAAAAGTGGTCGCGTCTAAAATGTTTCTTAACTGATAACGAAATTATTGTTTATACACTCGTGTCACTCGTAAATATTTCTTTGTTACATAGCCAAGAATTCAAGCACATTAAAAATTGAGCCGATTCTCCAGTTAATCGGTTTCGTTCTTTTCTAATGGTCAATGCTGCTCGTGAAAACAGTCTTTCTAGAAAACATTTTTCCCTTTCTTTTAGTGCCGACCTATGTTATATATACATATAATATATTTTAATAACATTCATAGTTTTTATTTTCGAGACTCTCGAAATTTCGAGAATCTCGAATCGAGATCGAGAAATTGTCTTCGAGAAAAACATCGAGACGAGATTTTGTTGATTTCTCGTCTCGATGATCGAGACGAGACGAGAAATTACCTTCGAGACGAGATTTCTCGTCTCGATGACACCCTAGACACAGCGAACCACCAAAACAAATGATGAGTCCATATTTGGAGGCTCAATATGGCCGTTTCCGTCCCTGCGTTGTCTGTGGTGACAGATAGAAAACGCTCCTTCCTGTAGTTCTATATTCAAAGGTATCATCCTTGCCGATAACCCTTCAAGAGCTGATTATGGCGGCACAGGAGGAGTGGGATCAGATTCGTCAAGAACAGATACTTAGACAATCTGATTCTCTCAATGCCAAGGCGGGTCAATGCGTGCTTCGAGTCTCGAGAACAGAGGTGATCACACTGATTATGGATGTTGTTATTTTTTATTCATAAGTTCTTTTTTTTTTTAATTAAAAATTTCAATAAATACAGTTTTGGGACCTAATTTTGTTTTTCTTATTTCTTGTAGGACCGAAGACCTTTGCACTTAAGAACAATGAGAATAAGTTGGCAACAGATTAATGTTTTTTATGCCATGTAGGTATGCAATAGAAAACTTTTTTATTTTTTGAGGAATTTGGAGGGGTCCAAGATTTTTGACGCTGTGTGTATTATTTAATTTTGATTAACATAATATAGGAAAAGAGGAAGATGAAAGCAAGATCCAAAAAAGAATTTGTTCTTTTAGAATGTTGATTGATGTAGTAAAACCAAGTATGCATAAAGCAAAAGCCCGCGGAATCAGAACCTGTAGCGCAGTGGCGGCTCGTCAGAGTAGGCAAGGTAGGCGCCGCCTACCCTTAAATATTGGTGTAATTTTCAATCATTTTCATTTTGAGTCACAAAGTCACAACAAAATAATGAAAATCTTAATTTGATATTATAATTTTGAATATATAAATTCCTTCATTGACTTAAATAAACCTAAAACACAAAAACGGGCCGTGTACCAGTGTAGCGAAATATATTACAAGCTCGGTTTGCTTTTTCACCAGTCGCCTGTAGCTCGCCTTAAGCAGGACGCGCACTGAATCGACTCGGACCGGTCGACTCGGCGAAGAGCATTAGGTAGTTTTTGATACTCATGCAATTAAATGAGACTCGAGCCGACCACGTCGAGTCGACGAGTCCGATGCCGTGCGCGGAGTCTCATTTAATTGCATGAGTATCAAAAACTACCGAATGCTCTTCGCCGAGTCGACCGGTCCGAGTCGATTCAGTGCGCGTCCTGCTTTATGCTACCGTGTGTAATAACTAGCGGACAGCGCGGCGCAGCTTGGAAATTTTCTATGCGATTTAAATGGCATGGGTTGGCGATGAACGCGAGCGCCTGTACACATGTTCTCACGCGACATCTGCGCATTATGGCGACTGCGAAAACCTGCATAGGTGATGAATGTTTTAATAATATATTTTTTGGAAAGAAAGCAGCTAGCCCGCTAGGTGTGCTTACTTACAACATTTTATTGATTTTGATTAGTCAGTTCTCCAGATATCGAATTTTGCTTTCCTGAAATTTCTGATGACTGATATTGATATTTAGCAAACCCGCTAATTAGGCCTGATTTGTTTTTAGTACTCCAGTGTTTCGAGTTCGAGTGAATTATAGTGATAATGGAAAACAATTTTGGTCCTAAACATGACATATGTTCTTAGCTGGAAATGCCGTTTTCTCAGCTCAAAGACGACGATCGACGTGAAATTGTAGTTATTGGACGACCTAAGCCGATTCTAAGTATCTTGAAGTAAACGTTTTTGGGTGTGGCACCCGAAAAAAAATGAAGCTTTTTCACCTTTACATTTTATTCTACTTCTGGCGCCTCCTCACATGTTCGGGCCCCTCCGCCTACCCAAATAGTTCCTCCACGAGCCGCCACTGCTGTAGCGCAAACAGCCTACGTCAAGGCGAGAAAGGACATGCTGTCTACCTACGTCACAACTGGTGATTTGGCGTGGTAGGGGACTTCAGATTTGTTCCACACAGGCTTTATGAGGATAGGCTATCCTGTAGTAGTAGTGTGTATTATCCTTGGTCTAACCGTACTTGCACGTAGTTACCCTATTTACTCTAAAAAGCCGCACCGAATGGTTGGAGTGCCCAAAAAGTACTTCGAGAGCACAGAGTCGAGCAAGTCGAGGTAGAGCTTTTAGAGTCGCCTTTTTTATACTGGCAATGCTACAGTGACTTTATTACCACAGTGGCGACAATTGCCGTCTTCTTTTTGATTGGTCCTTCAAAATCTTATGGTAAACGCCGCCATTTTATGCCCAACCTCTTGCTACGGCAATGCCCGATATGGCGCCATCTAACAAAAAAAATATTATTTACTATATTTAATTTTTATTTATATACAGATGACTTACTTTTAACCTTTTGATATTCATCAAAAATACGTTGTATTCAATTTTTTATGTTGGATGTCCATTTAAATCCTATATATTCAAATTTAAAATTAGCAAGAGGTAAGCCCGAAAATGGTGGCGGAACCTTCATTTTTGCCACTTTTTGTAAAGGTTTATTCAGTCACTGTATATGTATAATCATCAGCGCCCCATCTATAGAAGAAATCGGCAACTTTTCAAAAATAGAAACTCAGAGAAATTATTTTTTTCCATTTCATTTCAAAACGCAGAGAAAAACCGCTTGAAGAAACGGCCACGATGGAAGAGAGCGAAGAAAAATGCGAGGAAAATAACAGCAAGGCCAGCATTTCAGAAGAACAGGGGACTGGTGTTCTACCAGTGGAGTCTTGTACAATATGCATAAGTGAAATGGTTGGGAAATTTATAGGTTCTCCTGATAAATGCCGTCATCACTTTTGCGTCTCGTGTTTGAGAACTTGGTCCCACACACAGGCAGCGCTGACTACTTGTCCAGTTTGCAGAACAGAATACACCAATATTGAAGGTAATTTTCTTTCAATTACAAATATCTTTGCAGTGAAACTTTTTATTCGGCTACTCGATAATTAAACGAGAATTGGGAAAGTGAATTCAAGAACTGACGCGTCCTTGTTTAAGCGTAGTTCATATAGATGCGAATCACGAATTGCTAATGCGAATTGTTTTCATATAGATACGAACTTCGCAATTATTCGAGGAATATTCACGGAAAGTTTGAAAATGATTGAAAAAGCAGAAAAGCCAGATAGCCAATTTATTAATTGATTTGGCATTTGGCAACTTTGCGACTCTGGAACTCTGTAGGTAAATCATAAGTATACATGCCGTAAGCGCCCATTGCATTGCTTGCCATGTTTAAGGTATCTTCGCGTTCGTCTGCCTCTTTTCAAAGTTCCAGATGAATGATGGAATAAATAGTGAATCGACTAATTTTTCCGGGTTTACCAGGGCCCGTATATAGCAGAATTTTATTTCATAGCGTCATTTTATCACGGACCTATTTGTATGTACAGGGTGTCTGGTTATAATTTGACACCTCACCTGCAGCCTTTACCTTTAGAGGTAGATGATAGGTGTAAACACAGAAGTTTTAATTAAATTTTCAGCATCCATCGTCAAAAACAAAATTTTATTGCAAGAAATTTGAAATTTTGCGGTACTTTCAACTTTTTTAAATGAATTTTTTTTTTTTTTTTTTACGGATATGCGCACTCGCAAGGAAATGTCCTATCACGCTCGAGAAGCGGCAAGTGCGCGGAAATGTCGGTGTATGTTGGTCTTGAAACGGTTCAGGTTGTAACCTGCAGGGAAAACCGTCGCAGGGAGTTTATTCCACAGCGATGCTGTTCTCCAGAGATATGAATTCTGATATAATGAGGTTCTTGGTGCCTCTAGTTTGACAGTAAATTCATGGTTACCGTCTGTTTGACGGGTTCGCCTGGTAGGCGCTACTCTCGGTGGAATCATACGTGCCAACTCTTCAGAGCATTTTCCCTATATATGCTTCTAATATATAGTTTTTCTATGTATATTTGTTTGAGCCGCCTTCAACATATTTGGCTCTAAAAATTGGAAAAATACTATCTTACTGACGATTTTGTGAACCAGTCTAATGAAAGCTTCAGGTAAAATTTGAGGCACTTGGTTTCTCTGATAGTAGGTATTTATAAAATTTTTGAAGCGAAATATGGTGGAGACGGCTCAACTAAATATAGAGAAGGTATATATTTTTGGAGTCGGAAAATTGTGCTCTTCAAGAATATAGAATCAAATATAGGACATTCTATTTGAAAAAAGTTGAAAGTACGCAAAATTTCAAATTTCTGACAATAATTTAGCTAAAACTGCTCCACTTTTGTGTTTACACCTATCATCTGCTACCTATAAAGGTGGAGTGTCAAATTATAGCCAGACACCCTGTACCTTCCAATATTTTATATGGCCGCCCCCTTAAATTTTGTCTCGATCCGCGCCTGCAAGCGCGGCGCCGTTTCAATCGACTTCACACGCCGTTCTGAGGGGCCCTTCCGTCCCTGTTTCTGACTGTTTTCAACCGATGGAATTCGCTCTGACTGGCTTGTGATTTCTGCAGAAACAGACCTATCAAATACCTACTCATCAAAATAGTCTAGAAAACAAGAAAATATCTGTCTTTTAATTTCAAGACAAAACAACTTTTAGATAATGTGAGTATTATTTATTGAACAAATCTTGTCAAATTTACCATATCAGCTTTTTTTGAAAGCTTGTTTAGTTTAAATATTCTATTAATGAAATCAGCAGAAAATGATTGATAAGTATATCTATTATCTTGTTCCCTAGACCATTTTGATGTGTGTATTATGGATGAAGAGCAAACACACTATTTCCTTGGCTTCAAATATACGCCAAAGCTGCATATTGATTTTTGGAAAAAAAATATATATTGGAGGAAGCCGAAGTAGGTACAATTCGGACGATTTTTCTATGAAATTAGGTAATTAGGTACCTACAGAAAACAGCAAGGCGAATTTCACCAACAACCACGCCATTGTACTGTACCTACGTGTTGCCGATCAGGCTCTAATTAACCAATCGAATCACGCCTCTCTTTCTCAAAAATCACGCCACTCCACACTCCACATCCATCACGTCGACTATCGTTTCCAATATTGTGGTTATCACATATTAAATATCATCATCAAATATTGTTAATTGACGAGGAGAGTCAAGGTATAACACAACATTTTGAGAAAAGTAATTCGGTAAACGCCTAAACGGCTATATGTGCGAAGAATAGCATATTATGTGATTCTTCGCAAATAAACTCATTTCTTAAACCCTTGTTGTTTTACCGGCATCTGTCAAAAAAATGGTTGACTCGAGCCACTAACTTCTTATTTCTCGGATAATCTCGGAATAACTATACGGCTCTTGCAAAATCATTGTCGAACCGGCGGTCAGATATACTCGGGATAAATTAAGGTATCAGATATTCGGGGAATTACAATACAGAGTTTTATACTGGCATTGTCGAACCGGCCCTAGTGATCATTTAAAGGGGGTGTGACCCTAAAAAACGACTTAAGCTACTTAAATTAAGAAAAAATTTTTAAGATCTCTCGTGAAAACCGCATATTCAAAATAGTATCCGAGAAAATTCCATTTGAAGATAAATTATGCAGGAGCTTGTGATGTCACAAACGCCGAAATCGCAGTCTTCTGTTCATTCAGTCGTCAGTGAACCGTACCCCATACTTTAAGTGGTTGCAATTCACTCTAGGAGATAATTGTCTTTTGTTTTAGAAAATTCTTGCATGTGTTAATACTGTTCCTGATAATCCAGTGTGACGTCACAATAACCTAGTTGTAACTTTAAACCGCCCTAACTCGAAAACGGATCATCATAGCAAGATGCAATTCAAATATTTATTCTTAGATTTTTTTGCACTAAAACTTTAATTTTTGGGTCACACCCCCTTTAAGTAGCAAAGAGGGTTTTTCGAAGAACGTTCCGATAAAAAATTCATGCCGAGTTTTTCCGCTACTATACGTAATTGAGTTATTTCATCATATGTAGTCCCTTTCAATTTAGTTGCAAAAATTAATTCAGCCAAGTTAACTTTTTCTGTGGCTTTCACGATTTTCATTATGGCATCACAGCTCATGAGAAAAAAAATCAGGAGGACTTTTGTTGCGCCTCGGCGCGCCTTCAAATTGCCTCAGGACTTTCCTTTCGGGAGGCCAATTCTCGGGCCAGGGAGTAGAGCTCCCCGAGAGAACAAATATTTCGTCTTTATCATTCTCGTTCACTTTTCGATAACGTTGACAAGGACAAAACATTCGTTCTATCGGGGAGCTCTACTCCCTGAGACGAGAATTGGGCCCCTGGTGGGTGTCTGATGCATTTTTAGCGCTGCTTCAGGTACTTGTTTCTGGTTGTGATGCACTTGCTGTGCTGTGAACTAGGCGCTTCTACAAGTAACGCCATGAAGTTTTTCGCTGCAACCTCTGTTGGGATTCGAGAGACAATTAATACGCTGAGGTACCCTACCTACACTAATTAAGACTATATTTTTTAGTTGCGTACCTATATTTAAAATTAAAATATTTGTATTATTATCGAGAAGGACACTTTTTCAGGTGTAAGAGGTAACCATAATGTTTTCAGAAAGAAGATGGAATTCTTAATCCTCGCCATCAATTTCTCTTCTACGAAAGAACGCAGCGGAGATGGGACGTACCTAAAGTGGGTGTTTGTAAAGTGTCTATAGACTTTTTCGAGTGCGTGATCTGAGATTTTGGACGCTGATTGACTAGATTTTGGGGCCTTAGGTAAATCGTATAAATTGAGCGATGGTCTCCCAAGTCGACGACCCCCTAATTTTGGACAATCAGCGCCCAAAATCTCAGATCACGCACTCGAAAAAGTCAATAGACTTTATGAACGGACATTAATATTAGAGGTTTTATATTGCCGTTAAAATATTTCATTATTATTTCACGTTGGAAAATTTGTACAAAAATAAAAACTAAAATCTATTTGGACACGTACAAGAATTATTTGACACTACCGACAACAAAACAATTTGTAAAAAGAGAGGGTCATAAAATAAAAGTCAGAAAAAAATATCTTAGATGTTGACGTTATACGTTTTTAGGCAGATTTTAAGAGCAATAGGTCTCAGTTTCAACACCACTGTGGGGACTAATTGAGGACGCTTTGCACAACACAGCTCGTGTTGAAACAAATCCATATTCTCGCACCATCTTCGAGAAGGACTGGATGTTGTAGAAGTCGGATCGGCGAAAAATCACGTCTTTTTTCAGTAATTCGTCCATAACTTTTTTTTTGGGACAACCATATGTAAAGATAGATGAATTTTCAGAGAAAAAAGAAGGTCAAGGAAAAACAAATACATTCTCGTTACCTGTTGACGAATTACTGCAAAAAAAAAAAAAAACAAAACGTGATTTTTCGTAAACTTTTAGTTTTCTTTTTCGGTTTGTTACAAAACCAGAAAATTGTCATTCAACAACATTAGCCGACGATACTGGTTTAATTACAGTGGAAAAAAGTATTGAACAATCAACAGAAAAACTGCAGAACGCTGTGATGTTCAAAATTGGACCAAAAAATGGCGAATAAAATTGAATGAAATCAAATCAATTCACGTTGATTCTACAAACAAAAACGTAAATCACATACAAATCACAATAAATGACACCCCTATACCATATTCAAATCAAGCCAAATATCTTGGTATGACGCTTGATGCGAAATTGCGCTGGAAAGCACATGTTAAGAAAAAAAGGCAAGAGCTTGAATTTAAGTATAGAAAAATGTACTGGTTAATTGGAAGGACGTCCAATTTAACCATACATAACAAGTTACTGCTTTATAGGCAAATACTGAAACCAGTATGGGCATATGGCATTCAACTTTGGGGTTGTACTAAAGATAGTAACATACAAGTTATTCAAAGATTCCAAAATAAAGTACTAAGAAACATTGTTAATGCACCT